AAGTCCCTGCTCGCGAGGTAGTACTTTTTCAAAGGTCCGGAACTTTTGGGGGCGGGACTTGGGCGCTGAACATGCTGATTGGTTGAGTTTATGCAGTATTGTATTTCAACCACAATTTATTTGCATAATTAACAAAATATTACTGTTATTGTGTCATGAAACGTAATTTTAAGAGTATTTCAGGCAAGAATGTAGTTGTTTAAAACTCAAATCTGCGGTTTATTTATAAAGACAGTGCCTAATTGAAATGTGCGCCGCTGATTTCGGAAACGTGAGATCCACGCAATCAGCAGGCGCTCAGTGCTCATGTTTCCCAACGAGAGCAGTCTCAACTCGGCTAGTCCTTCTGACATTCTCTGTAGTGGTTAAACATAAGATATCATTCGTTATGGGTAAATCAATATGTTAAAATGAAAAGAGGCAATACTGTTTGATATAATATTTTGTTTCATTGTAATGTTATACGTTCCCTGAACTACATTTTTGCGGCTAGTAATATGTTTAAATGAAAACAAAACAAACAGTGGTGTTTGATATCATATTTTGTCTTATTGAAAAAACAGAAGTGTTAATTATCAGACCTAAAAACTCTGCATGTAATAACATAGAACACTGTCTAACACTTGATGGCTGCTCTTTCAATTCCTCGTCATCAGTTAGGAACCTAGGTGTGCTATTTGATAGCAATCTTTCGTTAGAAAACCACGTTTCTAGCATTTGTAAAACTGCATTTTTCCATCTTAAAAATATATCTAAATTACGACCTATTCTCTCAATGTCAAATGCAGAAATGTTAATCCATGCGTTTATGACCTCAAGGTTAGATTATTGTAATGCTTTATTGGGTGGTTGTTCTGCACGCTTAATAAACAAACTCCAGCTGGTCCAAAATGCAGCAGCTAGAGTTCTTACTAGAACCAGGAAGTATGACCATATTAGCCCGGTTCTGTCAACACTGCACTGGCATCGTATAGATTTTAAAATCTTGCTAATTACTTATAAAGCCCTGAATGGTTTAGCACCTCAGTATTTGAACGAATTCAAATACTGAGGTGCTATACGATGTGCAGTGTTGACAGAACCGGGCTAATATGCTCATACTTCCTGGTTCTAGTAAGAACTCTAGCTGCTGCATTTTGGACCAGCTAATTGACAGTCACCACTGATAAGCTACCACTAAATATTGTAGAAACTTAATTTGCTGTAAAGGTGCTTTGCAATGATTTGTATCATGAAAAGCGCTGTACAAATAAACTTGAACTGAATTTAATTTAATTTGAATTATTTATTGTACTGTATTATATTTTATTGAGTTTTTCAGTCACACAGTGAATGTTTTCTTATCTATGATTTATTTTCTCACTCCTCAGTTCAGTACAGGTGACTGACAGGACTAAGTACTAAAGGAGAAGATGATATTCCTGGAGCAGCACAGTTTCTTGCTCAACATCAAGAACTTCCCTCTAACTGTAACAATGTTAGTTTGCCTTATTTTTGCACTAAGTATTGATTTATGCCCTGAAAAAAGGTTACATGCTTGAGGTTATTCAGACGATGATCATTGATCTTGTATCAGTGCTCTGTTAGGTTAAAAAATGGAATAAAAAAGTAAAGTAAAAGAATA